CGATAATTTAGATTGTGTTACTGTCTTACAATTTACTTAAACTGGTATTTATTGTTTCAGACGCTATATCTCGAAAAGTGGACATAACAGGTAACTAATTAAAATGTGCCAAGTAATTACAATTATATCTGAATTTAATTTATAAAAAGTTCTGTTTACATAAACTGATACATTATGAAATACGGTACCGCTCATGGATGGCTTAAAAGGGTAATCAATTACAAAATATGCTGATTAATTAGAACAACTATTTATAGATTTTACTTAAAGTAAACTCCATTATGGTGTACTTTTGGAATATTTTTCTTTCAAATATGGAAGGTGGTATCTTTTATTTCAGACACTATTTCTAAAGGAAAGCTTAACAAGCAATATATTAAATTAGATGCCGATTAATTTCAACTACCACTGCATTTGATTTATAGATAATTATGTTATATTATTGGAGTAATTTAATTTACACTGGTGTCTTCTATTTCAGATGCTGCACATCTTAAAGTTTATCCAACAGGTATTACATTACGTATGGTCATTAATTTGAACTTAATTTCGATTTTATCAAGATAAAACTCCATCAGAACCTTTAGAACCGTTAACTTAAATTAGTATCTTCTGTTACAGGCATTTTACCTCTGAGCGATCGCCTAAAAGGTATTTAATTAATAAGTTCATCCATTTAAATTATCCCTGAATATAATTTACATGAATTTCTATAGTTAATACATATCTACAACAAAATACTTTGGGACAGACGATACAGATATTAAATCCTTTATTCTACACTTCTAAACGAAGTTACCGTAAAATAAAACTTTCCAATTTGATACGTTAATTAAATACAGCTACTCTAAGCTTTTTATTTGTTTTAATTTCTATATAATGCTTCCAGTGTAGCCAGTTATCCTTCCCATCAGCCTGATAATAACATAGAAATGCACAGATCAAGACTTACTTAAATATTCCTTTACTTGCAGTTGCTGAAGAAGCAGCGAAGAACATGAAACGAACGAGTGTCAAGTAGTCTACGAGGAATAATGCGACTAAATAACGCCACTGTCACACAATGATATGTATGCCACTCAGTTTCGTCGTGGAAGAACAAAGGGCAGAGAGTGTTAATATTCCATACACAACTTTAATAAACTGCAAAAAAAATAAATTAAATTCTACAGAATTTATACCCTCAATCCAGTAAAACTTAACAAGGTGTTTCAATGTATATGAGGGTGATGAATGTAACAGTGATAATTGAACAAAATATACAACAATTCTTTTGCCTGAAACGAGGCTAAAAACACGTCATATGCCTAATATGCTACTTTATATTTTGCTTTTAGTTCAAATACAAGACAACAAATAATATTATGACACGAGTATACAATTCAAAGAACGTGCGTGTCGAAATTTCAAATTCGTGTGCACACCAACCCCGTTCCACGATTGGCCGATCACAGACATGTTTTAAATTCCACTCACATTCGCAATAGATCACAGAAAAATCAACCTCCCACAAACTCAACGGCAAATAAATTTATTACCAGCCCATCCACCCATTAAATAGAGTTTCCATATTTTCCGAATGTAATAAAATATATTTGGAATTTCATATAGCAGTGTAGTTATTGTTTTATTTTGGGCGCATTATTTTATTAGGCGCAAAAATTTTGTAATTATTCCTGCATTCAACCTCTTATTGATTTGCCTTGTGTTTTCCAAAGTATCTCCAAAAACTGTACATTCAAAAATTCTTATTTTTAACTCTTATAGCGATGTCATCTTGACATGTGCACGAACCTTCATACGTCTTTAATGGACTTACGTTGGTGAGACCAAGATATGGGTCCTCCTCTATCCACCGACTTATTCCAAAGCCGGATTTGCTAGTATTTCACAGCTGTTTGAAACCTGGCATTGCGCATGTATGATGAGCTACCGTAAGCTTCATCATATTCCACAAGTACATGTAACAGCATCTGTGCAGATCTGTCTTTACGGAATACGAATCTTTCCGAAGACAAACTCCAGATCTTGCGGTTAAATTTCGTTAGACTGTCCTATGGATCACATGCCACTCCACATTTTCGTCTACCAACAATTCTCTGACAGTTCACGTAATTTATTTTCACAAAATATTTAAATCCTGACCAGACAAAAAGTCGTATTCTTTCACTTATTATACCACAACGTCAACATGTAGGCTATTTGCTACGCCTTCCTTCCCATGTAAACGTCTGTTTATCTTTAAGTCTAGAACAATTATTAGTTATTTTGAACTTTTCAAAACTACAGACACCTATTCAAATTTACCAGAGAACTTGAGGAATCGCTGGTAGATAAAGTGACGACAACTCCAAAAATCCAAGTCTATCTAAAATACGAACAAAACATGAAATGAATTCTGCCATGTTCTAATTAACGAACTTTAAATTACGAATTTATATAGTTGCTAAGTTCAAATACTAAAGTTACGAGAGAACGTCCCGATAAATAGATTCAAACAAGACAACATTAATATGATTTATAAGATACAAAGATTTGTATGAAGACGTCATAAAACTCTTACCTCCAGTCCTGACGAGAAAATATACAACAACGTCGTTGCTGTAATGTGGTTAAGACTCACACAAGCGATACAGTTCTGATCCATAATTTATTCCTAAAGTTTTACAGAACTTCCGTAAATTATGGCCGTTTAGTTAACACTGTTGAAGGTGACATATCGAATGAGGGGAAAACAACGATCAGAATAGGATTTGAGACTTTCGCGGCGAGTACAATCAATGAAGTCTTCTCGGGCAATCAGCCCCGTTAACTAGTTACCGTAGTAAACCGACGTTTCGGGAACCAACTCTGTCTCAATCATCAGGGTTCTTATGTGACTGGACATCTCGGAAGTCGCGACTTCCGAGGTATCCAGTCACATCATAACCCTGATGATTGAGACAGAGTTGGTTCCCGAAACGTCGGTTTACTACGGTAACCAGTTAACGCGGCTGATCGCCCGAGAACATTTTATCGAACGATCAGAACTTTCGCTGATGCATTTCGAACTAAATTTCACTTTCGGTTGCAGTAATCAGGAGACGCAGATGAAAGAGACCTGTGCGGTGTAAGGAAGCATCTGGAATGATGACTAACAATTCATACATTATTTACTTATTTAAAGACACCTTATCAGTTGCAGGGACTATATAGCGTAAAATGGCATAAAATCAAAAATTTAGAAAAGAAATTAAACTTATCTAAACAAGAAAATCAAAATATAACTTGTTACTATTGTGTGCGTTTATTTTGAGTCTAGAGTGAATGTTCAGGTTATGGTAGAGAATAAGTTGCAAATCCACCCTCAGCTTCAGGATTAGCGACTGACATTTTAGAAATATAAGAAGATTTCTTAATAGTAAAATCTGCAAGTGACCAAGTGCCCCATACGTAACATTAACAAACGCGGACGTAAGACCAAGTTTTAAACCGAAGTGTCATTACTACAGCGGTCCAAGACTGCATACGTGTTAAAAGAGCGGATGTAAGTTTCAATCAAAACTTTATTAGAAAAGCCATGCATATTTAAAAATGTAAGACTCTGCGCTTGTACTATTAAGCAAAATATAATTTTAACGTCTTCAAGTCGGTACATAACCCATATGTTATTCCTCTCAACCTCTGCTGTGTTCTACTGGAAAAGCCCAAAACCACTGTGCCCACTGCTACAAAGTTTGTACATTAAATTCAGCAGACGGTAAGATAGCTCAACATGTCGTGCTACTGGCAACATGCACTGTACCACGACAAACAGTAAAACCTTTATCTGTACCAGCTAGTTCAAAGCGAAGTGCACACACGCGTCGCGGAAGACCGGACAACATTGCAGACCACAGCTGGAATCCATGACTGGCGAGATCGAGCACGTGTATCTGAGCCGAACCAAGTGGGCAAATCAATAACAACAAAATACCGAGAAATGTACAGTAAACGTCGTTAAACGAAGGTCCTTCGGATCAGGGTGCCTAAAAAATATGTGGACCTAAGAGATAAATTGGTGGAGAAAGTTGAAAATCAAGGACGTTGTGATGGGCGGTACATGCAGCGCGCAAGGGGGGATATGAGAAGTGCGTACAAAATTTTGGTTCCAAAGTCTGGAGTGAGTATTTCTTGTGAAGCTAGCAGTCGCTCAGCTACCAAGAAATTCCCCGGCTTTTATGGAACCTGAAACCTATTACCGTGTTAGCAAGGGCCTGCTAATGAATCATGTCCCAAGAGAGATGAATCCAGACCTTATCTTCATGCTCTGTTTATTTCAAATGCATTTTAATATTGTGTATCCTTCCACTGCACCTACATCTCGTTGGTTTTCAAGTTTAGAATTTGAGTAATGTAATAAAAATTTCAAAATTGAATTTGTACGTATAATTACAACCGTAAAAATCAAATTTAATTTTCTTCAACCTTGAAACGTCTTACTAAAATGCAGACTTGGCAAGTAAAATTCGCTCCCTCTTCACTGTTTTATCGGGATCGATTCAATTCTCAAATTTTACACGATTGAGGCCAGAAGTGACGATTTTAATACATTTTAAGTTTCAAGTCATGTCAGATAGTTACCTGCTTTGAGTTTTTTTTTATATTTCTGTTAGATAATGTGGAAATTTGTTTAAAATAATATTATATTTGTGTGTGCTTACGGAAAAATTGAGGAACGAAGTTGGATTCAATAGAATGATTTTCCCCACCCATGTAATGGTCTCGGAAGCCACCCGTTTTAAGTGGCCCGTAGTAAACACTGAATTTAACAAAAAAAACTAAACTTATCTAGAAACAATTTATGTAATGTTCGTAGCAAACAAAGCACTAAACTTTATTTTACATTCCTTTGTAGAAAAGCTATCCACTTTTACTACCAGATGCTGCTTATTTTGACGCTGAACTTCGTGGTTTTGTTCGATGTTAAAATTACATTCTTAGAGATAAAACAATATGGTCGTGACTAATTACAGTCCTTTTTCGCATATATAAAGGCTGGTAACACGCTTTTGAAATCATCAGAAGACACCATCGTACCGTACATCATGTTTGCTAACATCCTGAGCGCCATTTGCTTGACTGCCGTGGTAAGTTTAAACTTATAAATTGTTAAATATTCTAGTACTCTATGCACATATTTGAACCATAAGTACAAGAGAATTAATAACATATAACGGTCCGTGATTAATGCTTATGAATTACAAACGTAAATATATAATGCTAATTTCAAATTATTTTCTAATTTGTTTTGCTGGCAATCCTGTTGCGATTTCTGCTATCTCGTTTAGACACCACGTTGCATATTTTAAATAAACACACCTACTTCCACTTTCTAATAAATACAAAACGTTGATTTGTTATTAAACTCTGAAATATCTACACAGCAAGTGTTGGTAGCTTCGTTTGCTGTAAAGGAATCTGGGGCCTTATGGAATAATATTTATGACTGAGTTTATAAATTTAGACTTTCCCGGCATTCTAGACGGGAAATTTACTAATGAATGTTGTATTTCATTCCAGGTACTGCAGCACGCCGTTGCAAAACCAGGTTCGTATCCCTGCACTCTAAGATATACAAAACTAGTCAGACCCCCAAAATTCCTTCCCTTCTCCCCTAAGCAATTTTGACCAAATTTTTTTTTTAAATTTCCAGTCCGATACGTGACAGTGGAAAGTGGATAAAGGGTTAACTTCATAACAGAATTACCAGATATTTTGCATAATTTTCTAATAAAGTCTATATCTTTCATTAAATATAAAATACATAATTAGATTCTGTGACCAGTCTATATATTATTGTCGCTAGAAAATGTATCTCATATTCGAAAAATATTTTAGCACAACGGCCAGTATAAATTTTTAAAAAATCGTCAGAACAATTATTAGACAAAGAAAACCATGGATCCTCAAACCTGAGCAGAAACGCGGTCATTTGATCATTCCAGAAATTTATGAAGACGGTGTGGACATTCTCCTTAAAAAATCCGCTTCTAGTGAAATAAAAATGGTCGCAACAATTGTGACCAGTGAAAATAAATAACAACGAGGTCAAAAGCGTAGATTACGTGGCGTCGAATGATCAATGAACATTGAATTGGAAAGGATTTGGAGGAAGGCGATTGCGGCATTCGCCTGGAAGGTCTGAGGAAAACCACAAAATTCTATAACACGCCCGACGGTCTCCACGCCGAAATTTAAACACGGGACTTCCATAATTCGAATCAGAGTTGCTAACCACTCGACATAGACGTTTGGCGTGAACATAAGGTCCACTTAACATCCTTATGTCTCGTGAATGACCATTTTTCGTGAAATAATTTACTCAAAAATAAAAACCAATTCCTCTTTTATGGGGATTTACGTCCACTTCACATAACTTTCATAATTCCGCGTAAATAACAGACATTATGACACTGTGGCCCGAGTTCTCTTCCGGAGATATTTCTTACTGCCTCAGGTCAGTGGTTTACGAAACTTACGGAGATGGGAGGAATGATTCAAGGACTTTACCACAAGAAAACGTGCAAAGATCCATTCTCTGTATGCCAGTATTTTCTAAGACAAATTCACAAAATGCCGTAAAATGACAGTACCATGTGTTGTAATAGTTTTTCTCTCCTTACAGCTGAGCTGCTTCAGCAACCATACCCTGAAAAATATGGCGGACAAAGTGCATCAGAAAACATAAGGTATGATGGGCAAGGTCACGAAATACCAAAGCACTATGAGCCAAAATACGTGGGATATAATAAATCAGAGTATTTAGGATACGACAGAGCAAAATACGAAGGATACGATAAATCAGGACACTATGAACCACAACATGCAGTACACAATACACTAGGATACAGAGGATACAACAAGGCAGGATACGAAGGATACGACAGACCAGTCTACTATGAACCAAAATACGAAGCGCACAATAAATCAGCATATGAGGACACGAAGAAATACGATAAGGATATCATATATAAGGGTAGCTCTATAACAAAACATGAAGAAAGTAAGCTGTACTAAGGATACAACATGCCCACACAGTTACGAAACTCGCACCTCTTATGGACACTGGGCATATCAACGTAGAAGACATTAACATTAATATCCTGAAAAATTAATGTACTTTTATTCATTAAAAAGCAGTAAGAAATAAAATAAGCACACGATATGCGTTTTATTTTACATTGTACGATATAAGAATGTTCCTTGTGATTGGCCATTGTCTGCGATAAGAGGCGATATCTATAAAGATTCGGACGCTTGCCATATGTCCAACCTACGACAGAAAATACGATCGGAATAGGAAGTACTTTCTCGTTTGGGCCCTTTATAGAATACAGGTGATGAGGAATAAGCCAGAAAGAAAAATTTCCTACAAGAAAGCCGCAAAGAACCGGAGCATAACATATTGTCTCCATCTTCGGGGATGAAGATAGAGATAGTATGTGCCTCCAAAACGCTGATATATACCTCAGAGTCTACATGGCGTCACAACACAGAATTTCATATTTGTTGTTCACCTCAACTTCAAATTGCGTACATTAATGAGCTACATCTTTATTCCTACAAATTTTAGTTGTTAATTAACAATATGAACGAAATTATGGATCACTAGAGTGAGCTACATACTTGTAATTACTACAAAATACAATACTGGCCGGAAGTTTTTCATACGAATCACAAGGTTAGTTCTGAAGATACTAATTTTTGTATAGTTGTGTAAGCCACCAGTCTCAAGTTAGAACCAACAGGTATTATCCTACTATCTGTCTACAAGAACCAATAAAAAATTACTGAAGTTCTCTGTCAATATAAGAAACTAAATAAGTCTTTCAACGTTTACGGCGCAGAACTGTGCGTGACTCACCTAAAAATGTCTCTCTAGGCGAGTGTGGTGTTGAATTCTGACTCTTGTGGAAGATGATGACACAGCAAAAACTTACATTATCCCACTCTGATATTGGCTTAACAAGGCCAAACAAGGCTTGGGTTAAACAACAAATCACTCTAAATAAATTTACAGAACACATTAACAACCATTTTAACACTTCACACGCCAAAAACTAAATCTTTTTCACCGTAATTTACACGATACCTTCACGATCAACTTCAGCGGCCAGTACTCCTCATTTTATATTTCCAAACAGTCCAGTAGATGGCAAGGCAATCCTGCGATGAATAACCAACCACAAATCAGTGAAGCGAAGTGCCGTGGCGACTATTGGAAATACCTGCAGTGACGTAATGTCATTTCGTCAAATCTTCTGCTAAAAATAACATTCTTCTGCACGTTTACGAAAGAATTGAAAAAAATAGCAACATGAGGTTTCGCACAATTACAATTACAATGGAACTGCGGTTTGAGCTACTCCAACACTAGGAGCTAAGGTTCGAATTCCGAAAACTGAAGTAGCTTTTTCTTTTTTTGTTCTGATTATGTAAAAGCCTTGGCATGGACTTTCGTACCATACGGTTTCGAAGGATTCATAGTACCAAAAGTAATTGTGAATCTAAACAAATGAGATGCTGGAACCCACAAAAAATAAGAAAATGGTTCCTCAATAAACAAAATTAGCTAACAGATGAAATCTTACAAGAGGAATAAACTGGTCTTATGATAAAATACAATTTGACAGTATGACCAACAGGTTTCATTAATATTTAAAACGAATAAAGAACGTCAATCAAATGAGAATATAACACATTACTTTCTAAGACAGGAATTAATTTTAATGGGAATGGCGAAGGAACAAATGTGCAGGGTCTCTGAGACCGTCAATGGCTTCTGTAGCTGCTAATAAAATAAATGTCTGGGCGACTTAAATTCTAAAATTCCCTACGCTAATTTTAAAGTACAACAAATGTTTAACACCGTGTTCCACACATAAAAGATTTAAATTTCGTCGGGAAAACTTTAATTCGAGAATTTTTATGTATTTTGTTGTTAAAAATGACAGATTTTCTGTTTTCTGTATCGACCACTAAACATCATATGGACTCCAAAAGGGAGCCAAGCTAGAGTCTGATTTTGAAGGCCAATTCTCTAGACATACTCACTCTCCAGATGCAGCTCTACAATGCGACAATAATTTCAGGCGTATTTATCCCCTTCTAACGACACGATTAGCAAACTTTGCTGATTCTCTGGGGGCTGCGAGGGTAGAAGGTGTGCCATAAATCTGACGCATTATAATTCAGGAGGCCAGAGAACCATGCAGTTAATTACAGAAGTACGTGATCGTGTAATACAGCTTTTTAGAAACATACGGGCAAGTCAGTTTATTAAGACAACTCAGGCCTACTGCACTATTGCTTAAAAGGAAATAGACGAAACTTCTGTCCCAACAGACAATTTCAAATCTGTAAATCTGCGTTTTTCGATCCTAAATTACATTATTCAGTCCATTTCCAATTGAGATCAATTCGCCTGTACCAGGGTAAATGAGCACAAGTACCAAAAGTTTCGGACACGAAAAACAATTTTCAGAAAATTCCCAAAAACTATGTTTTTCGATTCTTAAAAAATGTAAAGACAAGTGATTTCTCTATTCGCACATAATCTTAGAGCTGAAGTGACCACAGGCAATTTAAAATATAAGCTGTCAAGGAGCAACTATGCTTAGGCAGTAATTTCTGGATTTATTGACCTGGTCCTTCACGAAGACACCAGCTAAGTTTATTAACCACAAAGATAACTCTCTAGTAGGCCTAATACAACATTAAAGTTCAACACTACTAAATCAAAACGCATAGCTAGAGCCGACAATAAGTCATATCAAACCAATTAATATTTTCGCCAAAAAAATCCTCTAAAATCTACACTGTTCTGATGTCTGATTTGTGTTCAAAGTAGCCGTTCTCCAAGACTTTCCCATCAAATTCTGTAAGAATTTACTTGCATATCGTCTGTTCTTGAAGGTATCTCGTCATCTTAAAGAATTTGGAAAAGACTTTTTATACAAATGTAAGTATCATCAGATTCACCAAGAAGTACTGCGTAAAATAACGAAAAATCCCACTCAAGACAGTCGGTACTCAAGCCAGATAAATGTCTGACAAATTTGCTTCAGGTAATATATTCGGGGATCTGATGATGATAAATTCTCATCAATATTCATGAGTATTGATAATACCAACGTAGACATAAAAATACTATGTCAGGGCATGATAAAGTAACTAAACACTAAAATCGTATTAGACGACAAAGAAACTTGCATACACACAGAAAGATGCCAAAGGGAGAAGACTGACATAGGCAGACTAGAGAGTTTACTAAATTATATCAGAAGTCTGGTAATGTCACTTAAACCTTCTTATTTCCGCTGAGTTAGAGAATTCGCTACTGTTTTCGTGTAAAAAGTATCCATTTAGATGTTCCTACCGCTCAAGAATTTCATTCAGAATTAGAAGTGCGTCTGCACTTGATAGCCACAAAACTTTCTTCCTCAATGCATTATTTTACTTTCCACTAGACCTGAAATGTCTTTTCCCAGAACACTAGTTAAGGAAGACAAGATAAAGTTGAAGGATGGCTTCAGTGCACCTACGTTCACTTTTTTCAGCCTTAACCTTCGGAATGAGTAATGTAGTCTAGGAATGCACGTGCGTCATAGTTGTACATCTTCCTCTCTGAAAGACGGAATGGAAGAGAAGGCCTTCATCGAAGTTTCAGTTTTCTCAAAGTTTTATTATGACCTGTAAGGAGAATATCAGATTCCTACATGCTATACTACGTCAAAGACGCATGCCAGACGTCCAGTGAGGTTGAGAAACCAACGCGGTGGTTATTATATTTTGTTCCGGTAACATCACAATGTCAGATTATATCTGTCAATGATTTCTTCTCTGTTTTAAGGAAATAATGAATCACGGTTTGTTGATTCTACGGTTAGCTTTGCATTCGGTAAAAGAGAACTTCTAAATCCTCATGCAGATGGAAAGGAGGTATTAAAATCTATTATTATAGGAACGATGTGCAAGAGATTTGATTGGATTTAACTGGATCAGGGCAATTTTAAATGCTAGCAAATTTTTTTAATAAGTTAACGAACTTTCGCATTTCAAACAATTCCGAGGAATATTTTGACTAGATGAGTACCTTTCCGAGAAATTTCCTGTACTACTGAGTTAGAATTTGTATTCTGGAAATAACCGTTCCAAACTTGAGTCGGGTAACAAGGTGTCCTGTTTAAGGTCTTTCGTAATATTCACTCAATTCCTTCAGGCAAATTCCGGGGATTTAACTTTTAAATAGGCCACTACCGCCTCGTATCAAATTTATGTACACAACCATTATCATCTTCCCATGCCCTAGAATCTAACACCGTAATCTTCTGAAGTACTTAAGAATTTACAGTTCTATACCGAGCTGGGTAGCACAACGGTAGCGCGCGTAGTTAGAGGGTACCGTGTTAGCAGGGCTAACACGGTTAACATAAATGCTGTGTCCCTGACATCCATCACAGTTCGTTCGTGTGCCATACGAATCCTTTTATAACAGTTAAAATTTTGCACCGACACGCCAACTGTTAAACAGCAGGAGAATTTTTCCGCCGCGTTCATGCTTGTACATCGTCTCCTTAACAGGTAATCTGTTAAAACCTGCCCTTGTAACTTTTCCTAAAACTCTAGAACTCCGCTACGATAAATCGAGTTGCGAATTGTTGACTTTTGGCTTTGAGAAGAAAGTTCGAGAAAGTTAACTCCCATTAATCCGCCTTTCACTCACCGCTGCAATTCTTGGATCAAATGATGAAGGCGGATGTACTGACTGGAATTTTCCACATTCTGTTCTTAGACCTTAAACACTGCGGAAAAATGACTTTGAACATAATTAAAAATCGATTACGTATCATTACTTACCATACTTTAAAGTTTCTCTGGGTTGGATAACCGGGATTCGATTCTCGGCGGTGTCAGAGGCTTTTGAGGCCGACACTGGGACCGCCTGTGGGCAGCGTTGGCTTCCTTCCTGGGATCAAGACTGTCGGATCGTGAAGCAGACCACTCATCGCCATCTACTGGACATTAAAAATACGTCGTTTTTTCCTACCCTTCCACATACGCTGTTCTGTCATGTACACAAACGAAATTGTACCTCATGAAGAAGCTATGTCTGTCCGTCCACCATCTAATCCGATTTCTAAAATCATTTATCGAATTTAAGCTGACTTTTGTATGAAACGTATGCAATAATGATTTGGGTTAATTTTGATCTGAGTCATCAACGAAATTATTAATTTCGAATAAATATTTTCTTGGATATTATCCATTGTCCAGTAAAATAAAATATAATATATATTTTACTAGACGATGGATGATTACCAAGAAAATGTTTATTCCAATGACTCATCTTCGTCACGAACTTTTAGATTTGAAATTATTAATTTATTTGGCTATTTTCTTGTACTTCGTCAAAAAATCTAAATAAGATTAAAATTAAAGTAACAAACACAATTACATGCTTAATTATGTACGTGTTTTACCCCCAGATTCACGAACAGAGTTCTAAAAATGCGTTAATCCTCATGACAGCAGCTGATGGATTTCATTTTTAAAAAAATCACACCACCTGTCAGGCACATGGAGGCACTGACAGAAACCATCACCCCACTCGATAACCAATAAATACATAGAATTGCAAAATATGTACGTTCAACAATTTGAATGAGAAGAGTACATTATATTTTTATAAACTAATGAAACATGTAAACCGTTTTGGTAACAGAAATCAAGAAAAATGTAAGCATTGTTCCGCTTGGGTATATATAAAGACCAAACTACTAGGCGAAACAACCCAGATCACCTTCGTCTGAAATGTGCTCAAAAGATATTATTAAATTCCCGAAAATTACGCCAAGATATGAACAAGTTCCTGTGTGTTCTTGTCCTCACTCACGCGTGTTTGATCAAGACTGCGTTCATTAAACACTGGTTCCTAGCGACCTCGTCATATGTCCACGATGTTCTGGTGCATCATCCTTGTGTTTACGGGAATGGCATGTCCCGTTCTTACGTAGGAGTATTTGTGTTGAAACCCACAGCGGTTTTTTAATCCAGCACACGACATTGAACTCCGTAGCTCAGCGTAGAATGACGCAGTTTTGGTAGACCCAATCTAACACTTGCATAGTAAGGCCTACGTGGCATCGCTCTGCCCTGACGTGCAGGTGTGCTTGTTATTCCAAGCCAAGGTACCAACCTTTTCCACAGTATCTTTATATTGTAACAGTAAGTCAAACAGAACATCAGAAATCGTAGCATTCTGTTCATTTGAACATTTCCTAATTTCATTATAAATATATGTGAAGTATTTTATATATATCCAGGACTGCTTCATCTTCTACCGTTTTAACACTTCCACAGTTTCTTTATAGTTCCATATTCGTGTAGCTCGTTTAATACATGCTTGGAATTTTTAGATATTTCACCGTTTTAGTCTATATTCGTTACATATTCTGTCAAATCTGATCTTATCGCAAACTTTGCATGCCAGTTTATAAAATTCTGCTATTTTGGTACTTTCCTGTACAACATTCTGTTATATTTGCGTTGTATTTGATAATAGTATCAACCTTGTAAGTTACTTTTATGTCGGGTGTGTTGGGTTATGGAATTATGCTCACAGAGGAAAGATGTTTAAGTGTTGGTCGAGATATGATCGCCTTGTGAGACTCAGAAAACAAAAATAGTTTCAGAGCATCAGGACCCATCGTCATTTAAGTCGAAACCATTTATGAAAGAAAAATACTTCCGTATTACTACTCGTTAAATCTCTTCCGAGAACTTTGGAAGAGTGTAAAAATTTCCATAATATCCAAACAATTTTATAATTTGATATCGATTTTATTTCTCACCAAATACACATTTTCACCTTCCGTAAAGTATTAGTATCACACAAATAATATGTCTGTAGAGAACATAATGTTAAAAAGAAGGACCAAACGTAGTTCTGGACGAAAGGTGGCTGTTTCCAACTCTTGTAATATATTACCCGTATAATCATTTGACTCTCCCTCGTATTGTAAGCTGCTCTTGATTAGAATGAAGCTGAATGGAAAGTTTCATCCTTTGACGCTTCAAATCAGAGCCGTTAAGAGAGGGAAGTCTGAAGGATAAAGAAGGCTGGGTAAGTAATTGAAATAAGTAACCCTGTCTTCCAAAATAATGGCATGTCTTTTCCCTTGATTAAACCAACCGATCGCAATCTGCCTCTCCACCTCAGTCTTCACGCTTTCTCTTGTTTTATTCATAACAAGCCAAGAATGGCTTTGCTTTTCCATTAGCGACACCCTCCAGAGTAAGAAAGCCGATACGGAATTTATGGTACTGGAACATTTCGCGATTGAATAATACCACGAAATAATTGAAATAGAAATTGGAGTTTATAAACGAAAATATATTTACTGTTAGCAGACAAAATCTCTTTCCTTCGTCTATTGGTCAAAAGACATGTGTTTCGGAGGCTACCTGTACTTCCTTCATCAGGTGGGAGTACCTGTTTGGTCCATCGGATGAACTTAAACTCAATTCAATGGGCTCAACAGAGTAAGTTTTATACCTTCATCTAATGTCGAAGCACAGGCAGCTTTCGAAACGTGGTGATTTTTAACCAAGAAACAAATAAAAATGTCCAAGAATATGACACACCTTCGTCACAAGTCTTCAGACAGATCGTTCGAGTAATTGTTAAAAGTTCGTTTCCGATCTCTAACATCACCGTTACGTAAAAAAAATTGTACAGGCCGTTTTCTGCAGACAGATTAGTTGTTATTTCAAGAACAGAGCTAAATCCACGAAGATACTATGTGGATGAAGTGGAAAACACACATGCACCCCATTCGGTATTTTATTAATATTCATTGTAATAACTACTTCACCCACTGTGGTGATATTCATGACCAAATTACAGAAATACAATTTCACTCTTGGGAACGCAAACGTTTTACCAGGGAACACGCAAAATGAGAGGCGTACGTATATTATTACACTGTCATCTCATCAAAGCACATTGGTAACACACATGTGCCACATAGTTTAGCATTTAGTAACTCTGCATTTTACCCGCAGAACATATTTATGGGTTTCGTGTTATTATCGCAATAAACTGTGCTAATTTCCCTGAACAGCGTTAACCAATTGATCTCTGCAACGGAGACGCGTTGTGTTTTATTTGAGGTGAAAAGTAAAGTTTTAAATACTGGCCTAAACCATATTACAAATACCTGTCATTCTAATTTGTGTAAACTCAACTGCAACCGTATTTAATTATTGCTGAATTTTTATTTCTTACGAATTAAGCGTCAAAAAGAAACTGTCCTACGCGAACGGGGTAAAACACGGCCGGGGCGTGATGCTGACCACTTACCCCATGTAGTGCCGAGGTCAAGAATGAGTAGGAGCTATACCTTCTCTCCCCTCAAACGCCTATATGGCGCATAGTGAGACAGCCTTACTTTACTACGCGATAAACGCTTTCTTACTCAGCAACATTCGGACGAGAGAATTCAATTGGCTCATAAATTATCCGGCCTGTTGGACACGTCAGCGGAGCGTCATCCATAACTCCTCTGGTGTCGCAGGAGACTGCTAAAAATGCACACGGCAAGAATCAACGGCTTCTCTTGGAATGCCAAATAGTGTCTTTGACTTGAGGATTCACTTATCGGTGACAGAGTGTCATTCATACAAACACGCGTTTTTCTATTCCATTTCCTTTCGCTTGTTGTCTTGCCTTTCTCTGGGGCTGGATGAAGACCTGTTTGCTGCACCCTGCCAGGGGCTACCTCTGCTCACTATTGATTCCACTCTGTGATGGAGCCAAGGTGGGTGAAGATGCTAGGATGGGTAGAGAAGGTGTAAGATATAAAGGAAGGAACCGAGCAATGAGTAGACAGGAAGCTGAACGAAAAACAAAAAAAAGAAGATGCAATCAGATGTGGAGGGATGCTCAAAAGTAGGAGAAAGAATTTATACAATGGGGCACATTTACTTGAAGCACACAGGACTAGATTTTGTTGATCTCATTCAAATCTTAAGTTAACCCTCCGAAAGCTAACAACGGTGCATGTTGTATACCGAACCCTTATGATAGTTGCAGTAAGCTCCACTGAAACGTCGGTCAATATCTATCAGACTGCACCGCACTACATCTCATATTAATTCATTATTCATACTCGTCACGGTGAAGAACTCCAGCCTCACCAAGAAAATGTAAGTTGCTGTTTATTTTTATAGTTGAATGACTTAATCGTCTGCAGGCTACGGTAAAACTGGTTGCACAGTTGAATAACAGCAGAAAAACACTGACGAGGTAAACGAAACCACTGATTAAGAATTACAACGCGACTCGATACAAAAAATTTTTAATATCTGAATTCACCAGTACACGAAGACTGAAATAACATCCAGAGAATAAACAAAAATTTATTCGCAAAAAAGTATTAGAAATGAACGACTTACATATCCCCAAACCCAAGAAATGTCCTTCCATCCATACAGAACCATCATCATCTTCACGACAATCATGAAAATATTCAGTCACTAAGGTACTTCAACCAAAGCTTTGAAAATGTTTAAAATATTTCGTACTTAAGATGAAATACTGCAACCTAGGGGGATGTATTCTTGGTTCGATAGGGAACAATATGAACGAAATTATGGATCACTAGAGTGAGCTACATACTTGTAATTACTACAAAATACAATACTGGCCGGAAGTTTTTCATACGAATCACAAGGTTAGTTCTGAAGATACTAATTTTTGTATAGTTGTGTAAGCCACCAGTCTCAAGTTAGAACCAACAGGTATTATCCTACTATCTGTCTACAAGAACCAATAAAAAATTACTGAAGTTCTCTGTCAATATAAGAAACTAAATAAGTCTTTCAACGTTTACGGCGCAGAACTGTGCGTGACTCACCTAAAAATGTCTCTCTAGGCGAGTGTGGTGTTGAATTCTGACTCTTGTGGAAGATGATGACACAGCAAAAACTTACATTATCCCACTCTGATATTGGCTTAACAAGGCCAAACAAGGCTTGGGTTAAACAACAAATCACTCTAAATAAATTTACAGAACACATTAACAACCATTTTAACACTTCACACGCCAAAAACTAAATCTTTTTCACCGTAATTTACACGATACCTTCACGATCAACTTCAGCGGCCAGTACTCCTCATTTTATATTTCCAAACAGTCCAGTAGATGGCAAGGCAATCCTGCGATGAATAACCAACCACAAATCAGTGAAGCGAAGTGCCGTGGCGACTATTGGAAATACCTGCAGTGACGTAATGTCATTTCGTCAAATCTTCTGCTAAAAATAACATTCTTCTGCACGTTTACGAAAGAATTGAAAAAAATAGCAACATGAGGTTTCGCACAATTACAATTACAATGGAACTGCGGTTTGAGCTACTCCAACACTAGGAGCTAAGGTTCGAATTCCGAAAACTGAAGTAGCTTTTTCTTTTTTTGTTCTGATTATGTAAAAGCCTTGGCATGGACTTTCGTACCATACGGTTTCGAAGGATTCATAGTACCAAAAGTAATTGTGAATCTAAACAAATGAGATGCTGGAACCCACAAAAAATAAGAAAATGGTTCCTCAATAAACAAAATTAGCTAACAGATGAAATCTTACAAGAGGAATAAACTGGTCTTATGATAAAATACAATTTGACAGTATGACCAACAGGTTTCATTAATATTTAAAACGAATAAAGAACGTCAATCAAATGAGAATATAACACATTACTTTCTAAGACAGGAATTAATTTTAATGGGAATGGCGAAGGAACAAATGTGCAGGGTCTCTGAGACCGTCAATGGCTTCTGTAGCTGCTAATAAAATAAATGTCTGGGCGACTTAAATTCTAAAATTCCCTACGCTAATTTTAAAGTACAACAAATGTTTAACACCGTGTTCCACACATAAAAGATTTAAATTTCGTCGGGAAAACTTTAATTCGAGAATTTTTATGTATTTTGTTGTTAAAAATGACAGATTTTCTGTTTTCTGTATCGACCACTAAACATCATATGGACTCCAAAAGGGAGCCAAGCTAGAGTCTGATTTTGAAGGCCAATTCTCTAGACATACTCACTCTCCAGATGCAGCTCTACAATGCGACAATAATTTCAGGCGTATTTATCCCCTTCTAACGACACGATTAGCAAACTTTGCTGATTCTCTGGGGGCTGCGAGGGTAGAAGGTGTGCCATAAATCTGACGCATTATAATTCAGGAGGCCAGAGAACCATGCAGTTAATTACAGAAGTACGTGATCGTGTAATACAGCTTTTTAGAAACATACGGGCAAGTCAGTTTATTAAGACAACTCAGGCCTACTGCACTATTGCTTAAAAGGAAATAGACGAAACTTCTGTCCCAACAGACAATTTCAAATCTGTAAATCTGCGTTTTTCGATCCTAAATTACATTATTCAGTCCATTTCCAATTGAGATCAATTCGCCTGTACCAGGGTAAATGAGCACAAGTACCAAAAGTTTCGGACACGAAAAACAATTTTCAGAAAATTCCCAAAAACTATGTTTTTCGATTCTTAAAAAATGTAAAGACAAGTGATTTCTCTATTCGCACATAATCTTAGAGCTGAAGTGACCACAGGCAATTTAAAATATAAGCTGTCAAGGAGCAACTATGCTTAGGCAGTAATTTCTGGATTTATTGACCTGGTCCTTCACGAAGACACCAGCTAAGTTTATTAACCACAAAGATAACTCTCTAGTAGGCCTAATACAACATTAAAGTTCAACACTACTAAATCAAAACGCATAGCTAGAGCCGACAATAAGTCATATCAAACCAATTAATATTTTCGCCAAAAAAATCCTCTAAAATCTACACTGTTCTGATGTCTGATTTGTGTTCAAAGTAGCCGTTCTCCAAGACTTTCCCATCAAATTCTGTAAGAATTTACTTGCATATCGTCTGTTCTTGAAGGTATCTCGTCATCTTAAAGAATTTGGAAAAGACTTTTTATACAAATGTAAGTATCATCAGATTCACCAAGAAGTACTGCGTAAAATAACGAAAAATCCCACTCAAGACAGTCGGTACTCAAGCCAGATAAATGTCTGACAAATTTGCTTCAGGTAATATATTCGGGGATCTGATGATGATAAATTCTCATCAATATTCATGAGTATTGATAATACCAACGTAGACATAAAAATACTATGTCAGGGCATGATAAAGTAACTAAACACTAAAATCGTATTAGACGACAAAGAAACTTGCATACACACAGAAAGATGCCAAAGGGAGAAGACTGACATAGGCAGACTAGAGAGTTTACTAAATTATATCAGAAGTCTGGTAATGTCACTTAAACCTTCTTATTTCCGCTGAGTTAGAGAATTCGCTACTGTTTTCGTGTAAAAAGTATCCATTTAGATGTTCCTACCGCTCAAGAATTTCATTCAGAATTAGAAGTGCGTCTGCACTTGATAGCCACAAAACTTTCTTCCTCAATGCATTATTTTACTTTCCACTAGACCTGAAATGTCTTTTCCCAGAACACTAGTTAAGGAAGACAAGATAAAGTTGAAGGATGGCTTCAGTGCACCTACGTTCACTTTTTTCAGCCTTAACCTTCGGAATGAGTAATGTAGTCTAGGAATGCACGTGCGTCATAGTTGTACATCTTCCTCTCTGAAAGACGGAATGGAAGAGAAGGCCTTCATCGAAGTTTCAGTTTTCTCAAAGTTTTATTATGACCTGTAAGGAGAATATCAGATTCCTACATGCTATACTACGTCAAAGACGCATGCCAGACGTCCAGTGAGGTTGAGAAACCAACGCGGTGGTTATTATATTTTGTTCCGGTAACATCACAATGTCAGATTATATCTGTCAATGATTTCTTCTCTGTTTTAAGGAAATAATGAATCACGGTTTGTTGATTCTACGGTTAGCTTTGCATTCGGTAAAAGAGAACTTCTAAATCCTCATGCAGATGGAAAGGAGGTATTAAAATCTATTATTATAGGAACGATGTGCAAGAGATTTGATTGGATTTAACTGGATCAGGGCAATTTTAAATGCTAGCAAATTTTTTTAATAAGTTAACGAACTTTCGCATTTCAAACAATTCCGAGGAATATTTTGACTAGATGAGTACCTTTCCGAGAAATTTCCTGTACTACTGAGTTAGAATTTGTATTCTGGAAATAACCGTTCCAAACTTGAGTCGGGTAACAAGGTGTCCTGTTTAAGGTCTTTCGTAATATTCACTCAATTCCTTCAGGCAAATTCCGGGGATTTAACTTTTAAATAGGCCACTACCGCCTCGTATCAAATTTATGTACACAACCATTATCATCTTCCCATGCCCTAGAATCTAACACCGTAATCTTCTGAAGTACTTAAGAATTTACAGTTCTATACCGAGCTGGGTAGCACAACGGTAGCGCGCGTAGTTAGAGGGTACCGTGTTAGCAGGGCTAACACGGTTAACATAAATGCTGTGTCCCTGACATCCATCACAGTTCGTTCGTGTGCCATACGAATCCTTTTATAACAGTTAAAATTTTGCACCGACACGCCAACTGTTAAACAGCAGGAGAATTTTTCCGCCGCGTTCATGCTTGTACATCGTCTCCTTAACAGGTAATCTGTTAAAACCTGCCCTTGTAACTTTTCCTAAAACTCTAGAACTCCGCTACGATAAATCGAGTTGCGAATTGTTGACTTTTGGCTTTGAGAAGAAAGTTCGAGAAAGTTAACTCCCATTAATCCGCCTTTCACTCACCGCTGCAATTCTTGGATCAAATGATGAAGGCGGATGTACTGACTGGAATTTTCCACATTCTGTTCTTAGACCTTAAACACTGCGGAAAAATGACTTTGAACATAATTAAAAATCGATTACGTATCATTACTTACCATACTTTAAAGTTTCTCTGGGTTGGATAACCGGGATTCGATTCTCGGCGGTGTCAGAGGCTTTTGAGGCCGACACTGGGACCGCCTGTGGGCAGCGTTGGCTTCCTTCCTGGGATCAAGACTGTCGGATCGTGAAGCAGACCACTCATCGCCATCTACTGGACATTAAAAATACGTCGTTTTTTCCTACCCTTCCACATACGCTGTTCTGTCATGTACACAAACGAAATTGTACCTCATGAAGAAGCTATGTCTGTCCGTCCACCATCTAATCCGATTTCTAAAATCATTTATCGAATTTAAGCTGACTTTTGTATGAAACGTATGCAATAATGATTTGGGTTAATTTTGATCTGAGTCATCAACGAAATTATTAATTTCGAATAAATATTTTCTTGGATATTATCCATTGTCCAGTAAAATAAAATATAATATATATTTTACTAGACGATGGATGATTACCAAGAAAATGTTTATTCCAATGACTCATCTTCGTCACGAACTTTTAGATTTGAAATTATTAATTTATTTGGCTATTTTCTTGTACTTCGTCAAAAAATCTAAATAAGATTAAAATTAAAGTAACAAACACAATTACATGCTTAATTATGTACGTGTTTTACCCCCAGATTCACGAACAGAGTTCTAAAAATGCGTTAATCCTCATGACAGCAGCTGATGGATTTCATTTTTAAAAAAATCACACCACCTGTCAGGCACATGGAGGCACTGACAGAAACCATCACCCCACTCGATAACCAATAAATACATAGAATTGCAAAATATGTACGTTCAACAATTTGAATGAGAAGAGTACATTATATTTTTATAAACTAATGAAACATGTAAACCGTTTTGGTAACAGAAATCAAGAAAAATGTAAGCATTGTTCCGCTTGGGTATATATAAAGACCAAACTACTAGGCGAAACAACCCAGATCACCTTCGTCTGAAATGTGCTCAAAAGATATTATTAAATTCCCGAAAATTACGCCAAGATATGAACAAGTTCCTGTGTGTTCTTGTCCTCACTCACGCGTGTTTGATCAAGACTGCGTTCATTAAACACTGGTTCCTAGCGACCTCGTCATATGTCCACGATGTTCTGGTGCATCATCCTTGTGTTTACGGGAATGGCATGTCCCGTTCTTACGTAGGAGTATTTGTGTTGAAACCCACAGCGGTTTTTTAATCCAGCACACGACATTGAACTCCGTAGCTCAGCGTAGAATGACGCAGTTTTGGTAGACCCAATCTAACACTTGCATAGTAAGGCCTACGTGGCATCGCTCTGCCCTGACGTGCAGGTGTGCTTGTTATTCCAAGCCAAGGTACCAACCTTTTCCACAGTATCTTTATATTGTAACAGTAAGTCAAACAGAACATCAGAAATCGTAGCATTCTGTTCATTTGAACATTTCCTAATTTCATTATAAATATATGTGAAGTATTTTATATATATCCAGGACTGCTTCATCTTCTACCGTTTTAACACTTCCACAGTTTCTTTATAGTTCCATATTCGTGTAGCTCGTTTAATACATGCTTGGAATTTTTAGATATTTCACCGTTTTAGTCTATATTCGTTACATATTCTGTCAAATCTGATCTTATCGCAAACTTTGCATGCCAGTTTATAAAATTCTGCTATTTTGGTACTTTCCTGTACAACATTCTGTTATATTTGCGTTGTATTTGATAATAGTATCAACCTTGTAAGTTACTTTTATGTCGGGTGTGTTGGGTTATGGAATTATGCTCACAGAGGAAAGATGTTTAAGTGTTGGTCGAGATATGATCGCCTTGTGAGACTCAGAAAACAAAAATAGTTTCAGAGCATCAGGACCCATCGTCATTTAAGTCGAAACCATTTATGAAAGAAAAATACTTCCGTATTACTACTCGTTAAATCTCTTCCGAGAACTTTGGAAGAGTGTAAAAATTTCCATAATATCCAAACAATTTTATAATTTGATATCGATTTTATTTCTCACCAAATACACATTTTCACCTTCCGTAAAGTATTAGTATCACACAAATAATATGTCTGTAGAGAACATAATGTTAAAAAGAAGGACCAAACGTAGTTCTGGACGAAAGGTGGCTGTTTCCAACTCTTGTAATATATTACCCGTATAATCATTTGACTCTCCCTCGTATTGTAAGCTGCTCTTGATTAGAATGAAGCTGAATGGAAAGTTTCATCCTTTGACGCTTCAAATCAGAGCCGTTAAGAGAGGGAAGTCTGAAGGATAAAGAAGGCTGGGTAAGTAATTGAAATAAGTAACCCTGTCTTCCAAAATAATGGCATGTCTTTTCCCTTGATTAAACCAACCGATCGCAATCTGCCTCTCCACCTCAGTCTTCACGCTTTCTCTTGTTTTATTCATAACAAGCCAAGAATGGCTTTGCTTTTCCATTAGCGACACCCTCCAGAGTAAGAAAGCCGATACGGAATTTATGGTACTGGAACATTTCGCGATTGAATAATACCACGAAATAATTGAAATAGAAATTGGAGTTTATAAACGAAAATATATTTACTGTTAGCAGACAAAATCTCTTTCCTTCGTCTATTGGTCAAAAGACATGTGTTTCGGAGGCTACCTGTACTTCCTTCATCAGGTGGGAGTACCTGTTTGGTCCATCGGATGAACTTAAACTCAATTCAATGGGCTCAACAGAGTAAGTTTTATACCTTCATCTAATGTCGAAGCACAGGCAGCTTTCGAAACGTGGTGATTTTTAACCAAGAAACAAATAAAAATGTCCAAGAATATGACACACCTTCGTCACAAGTCTTCAGACAGATCGTTCGAGTAATTGTTAAAAGTTCGTTTCCGATCTCTAACATCACCGTTACGTAAAAAAAATTGTACAGGCCGTTTTCTGCAGACAGATTAGTTGTTATTTCAAGAACAGAGCTAAATCCACGAAGATACTATGTGGATGAAGTGGAAAACACACATGCACCCCATTCGGTATTTTATTAATATTCATTGTAATAACTACTTCACCCACTGTGGTGATATTCATGACCAAATTACAGAAATACAATTTCACTCTTGGGAACGCAAACGTTTTACCAGGGAACACGCAAAATGAGAGGCGTACGTATATTATTACACTGTCATCTCATCAAAGCACATTGGTAACACACATGTGCCACATAGTTTAGCATTTAGTAACTCTGCATTTTACCCGCAGAACATATTTATGGGTTTCGTGTTATTATCGCAATAAACTGTGCTAATTTCCCTGAACAGCGTTAACCAATTGATCTCTGCAACGGAGACGCGTTGTGTTTTATTTGAGGTGAAAAGTAAAGTTTTAAATACTGGCCTAAACCATATTACAAATACCTGTCATTCTAATTTGTGTAAACTCAACTGCAACCGTATTTAATTATTGCTGAATTTTTATTTCTTACGAATTAAGCGTCAAAAAGAAACTGTCCTACGCGAACGGGGTAAAACACGGCCGGGGCGTGATGCTGACCACTTACCCCATGTAGTGCCGAGGTCAAGAATGAGTAGGAGCTATACCTTCTCTCCCCTCAAACGCCTATATGGCGCATAGTGAGACAGCCTTACTTTACTACGCGATAAACGCTTTCTTACTCAGCAACATTCGGACGAGAGAATTCAATTGGCTCATAAATTATCCGGCCTGTTGGACACGTCAGCGGAGCGTCATCCATAACTCCTCTGGTGTCGCAGGAGACTGCTAAAAATGCACACGGCAAGAATCAACGGCTTCTCTTGGAATGCCAAATAGTGTCTTTGACTTGAGGATTCACTTATCGGTGACAGAGTGTCATTCATACAAACACGCGTTTTTCTATTCCATTTCCTTTCGCTTGTTGTCTTGCCTTTCTCTGGGGCTGGATGAAGACCTGTTTGCTGCACCCTGCCAGGGGCTACCTCTGCTCACTATTGATTCCACTCTGTGATGGAGCCAAGGTGGGTGAAGATGCTAGGATGGGTAGAGAAGGTGTAAGATATAAAGGAAGGAACCGAGCAATGAGTAGACAGGAAGCTGAACGAAAAACAAAAAAAAGAAGATGCAATCAGATGTGGAGGGATGCTCAAAAGTAGGAGAAAGAATTTATACAATGGGGCACATTTACTTGAAGCACACAGGACTAGATTTTGTTGATCTCATTCAAATCTTAAGTTAACCCTCCGAAAGCTAACAACGGTGCATGTTGTATACCGAACCCTTATGATAGTTGCAGTAAGCTCCACTGAAACGTCGGTCAATATCTATCAGACTGCACCGCACTACATCTCATATTAATTCATTATTCATACTCGTCACGGTGAAGAACTCCAGCCTCACCAAGAAAATGTAAGTTGCTGTTTATTTTTATAGTTGAATGACTTAATCGTCTGCAGGCTACGGTAAAACTGGTTGCACAGTTGAATAACAGCAGAAAAACACTGACGAGGTAAACGAAACCACTGATTAAGAATTACAACGCGACTCGATACAAAAAATTTTTAATATCTGAATTCACCAGTACACGAAGACTGAAATAACATCCAGAGAATAAACAAAAATTTATTCGCAAAAAAGTATTAGAAATGAACGACTTACATATCCCCAAACCCAAGAAATGTCCTTCCATCCATACAGAACCATCATCATCTTCACGACAATCATGAAAATATTCAGTCACTAAGGTACTTCAACCAAAGCTTTGAAAATGTTTAAAATATTTCGTACTTAAGATGAAATACTGCAACCTAGGGGGATGTATTCTTGGTTCGATAGGG